GGCCGCGGGCTGGGATCAAAGGTGAAGGGAGAGAAGAACGCGCGCCCGAGTGCAGGCAGGGCTTTCTGGCCGCGGGCTGGCGCCCGAAGTCCACGGCCTCCCCAGCCCTGGAGCTAAGAGAAGGTGCTGCTGGGGCCCAGTCGGCCACACCCAACAAGGCAGGGAGAGAAAGTGCTTCGCTGCCCGGCTGCAGGTGCAGAGCAGCCCACAATGCAGGGGCGCCCGGCCAGCTTAAGGGCCCCTCCGCGATAGCAAACCTCCCTGTAAAAGGACTGTCTGCAGGGATGTTGGAGTGTGCCGGGCAGACGCTCTGAAAACCCTGGGCTTTGGCTAATGTGCCTTCCGCAGGACAACCAGCTGCAAAAATCGCTTTTTCCTAGCGCCTCCACAGCGATCTCTGGCCAAGGCCAGCAGGGAGGCAAGTGAAGAACTCTCCCCGAGCTCCGACACGTCCTGCACGGGCTGTGTACCCGCCAACGACTCCACGCTGCCTGTAGTTGGTATCTGGCAAAAGAACGTTTGGTTGAGGGGCTTAAAACTCAAGTTGCCATGACCAGTAGTCAGGGAAATAATAAAGGCATGGCCACTCCGCTACTTCAAGAAATAAAAGCACTAATTTACCTTCTGAAATATTTAATAGTCTTTAAATTTATCATATTGCACTCTCGGTCATAATTGTAATTCTGTTATTTAATTTAACGTTAAAAAAAAAACCTCAGACTTCTGGTTGAGCCCACGCAAATATACAAATACCGAAAACAGCTTATCCCATTTTGGAAGGGGTGGGAAATAAAGGGCATACTATGTGAGTATCCTTGTACACTTAAACGGGTACCTCATAGATCTACCTGTTATATAGTAGAATTAAGTCTATAGTAGTATTCCCAGATATGGCTTGAAACCTTGGTATATCATTTTTCTTCTTACACGTGGCCTAAACATCTAAAATGGCAGGCACTACAAGTGCCCTTAAATGTAAGATAATCACAAAAGTTACCTTTTATTTATTTATTGTTTTTTAAGCTACCTTTTAAAATTAAAGCTCTTACAACATATGAATGCCCCCTTCCTAGTTCCCATTGTGAAATGGCCCATCTTTTGTTTTCGTTTTCCTTAGCCTGCTAGAGCTCCTCTTAAGGACTTAAATCTTACTATTGCCTTCAAAGCTTCTGGAAGGAGATCCTTTAATGTGTTCTATTCAAAAGCTCTGCAGCAATTGCTATTAAAAAGAGGTTAATAACTATATGCTTAATATGCTTTAACAAAAATCGGTTTTGTTCTATATAGTGTATCTCAGAATGAATCATTTAGAAACCCAAGAGTTGAAAAGCGATGTGCTTATTTACATCCAGCCCTCCTGTGGCAGTAATTTGTTCTAGAAGAATTTATCCCAAACTATCTCCAAGGATCCAAGCAGGACAAAATACTTGGCAACATCAACCTTTTCTCCGTTTATCATATTACCCATTGGTCCAGTTGTGAGGATTTTTGTTTTCTTCACATTTAGTTGTAATCCATGCTAAAGGCTACAATCATCAGCAAGTGCTTCAAGTTCTCACTTCCAGCCAGCAAGTTTGCATAGAAGCTTTCCTCCAACATTAATGCCACATTTCTCTTCATATAGTCCAGCTTTTTTTCTTAATTGCTCAGCATACAGGTTGAATAAGTATGGTGAAAGGATACAATGCTGTCACACACCTTTTCTGACTTTTTCTTCTTTCCTAACTTTAAACCATACAGTATTCCCTATTGTTCTGTTCACACAACTGCCTCTTGATCCACTAACAGGTTCCACATGAACGCAATGAAGTGTTCTAGGCTTCTCAATCTTCTCAAGGCTATCCAAACTTTGCTTTGATCCACAAAGTTGGATACTTTTGCATATTAAGACAACATCTTTCTAGTGTTCTCTACTTTCAGCCAAAGTCCTTCTAACGTCATCTGAATCTGGCCGGAACCTCTGCAAACATTTCTGGACGATCTTCAGCAAAATATTACTTGCATGAGATGAATGGCATTGTTATGGGATTTGCACATTCTGTTGAGCCATCTTTCTTTAGAATATGGATCCACAATCAATGTACACGGAAGCAGCAGTCAAAAGAACAAATGGCTCATGGCATTAGGTAAATCTTCCCAAGACCTCTTTAAAGTGTTGAAAAGCAAGGTTATTACTTTGAGGACTAAGGTGGTCCTGACCCAATAGTGATATTTTCATTTGCCTCATATGCATGTGACAGACATTGAATAGGAAGACCAAAGAAGAATAGATACATATGGTGCTAGCAAAGAATACTGAGGATGAGGGAGCATTAAAACTGATTGTGATGATGTGTATACAACTCTTTTTAAAAGCAATATAACCAAGGAATGTATGCTATGTGAATACTATATCAAGAAAACTACTAAAAAACAAACATACATATGGCTACCATGGGTAAAGAAGAAAGAGTTTTTGCTTAGGGGCACTGAGTTTATGTTAATGGTGGTAAAATAATTTGGAAAAGGATATAAATAATGGTTGTACAACACGAAGAGTAAAACCAATGGCACTGAATTGGTAAAAGTTTTCAAACATGTAAAAGTTGTTGAATTGGAGAATTTTTGTTGTGTAGATTTTTTGCCACAATTAGAAAACAATAAGTACATGAATAACAATGAGTACAAGGAAGCAGAAAATGCTTTAGAATTGACTGTGTTAATAATTATTGAACTCTTCTTGATAGGATTGAATTGAATGACGTATAGATGAAATGCTAATAAAACTGTTAAAAAATAAAATGCCATGAGTATGAGAGTAAGTCCAGAAGTAATTGTACTAGTTCCAGTTCACACATGCAACACCTTATTCCAAATAAAACATGGGGGAGGCGGGGAGAATATTGAAAGCGCCATGGACCGCCGCCAAGAGACCAAACAAATCTGTCTCAGAAGGAGGACATCCCAAATGCTCCCTATAGGTAAGAATGGTGAGACGTAGTTCATCTACTTTGAACAAGTTGTCAGTAGAAATCAGTCCATGCAGAAGGATAGCATGCCTGGTAAACCAGCGGAGTAGCAAAAAAAGAGACAGATGCTCAACAAGCTAGATTAACACAGTGGCTTCTACAATGGGCTCAAACATGAACAACTTTGAGGATGGTATGAGATCAGGAAGTATTTTGTTCTTTTGTAAAAAAAGGTCATTATGAGTCTGAGTCAACTTGATGGCACCTAATAATAACAGCCCCAAGAGATTGAAGATGTCCCAAATATCCAGCTCTTCCAAGATGCTGCTCTGCTCCATTTCCCACCCCACCCCACCCACACCTCCCTTGAATATATTCCCTCATGTCCCTGGGTTCTGTCATTTGCTGAAACATCCCACAGAAATTCCTGACACTTTGACGAAATGTCTCACGTCATGGGGGGTGCTGTTCAGTCCAAAATCTGAAGGTCAAGCAGAGGTAAGCTAAATGCAGAGTTCAGAGATAGAAGCTAAAAATGTCCAAAAGTCACAGCAGATCTTCTTCCTTCTACCTCAGCTCAGGCAGGAAATAGAAGTTATGGCTTTCCAGGTGAGGTGCCGTCTATTTGAACTGGACAGTGGTACCAGTATGTATCCAAGGAAAACAAAAGGTGGTGTCTTAAATTACACCAACTGCTAATGTAGAGTCAAAGATGTCCCCAAGGAAACTGTGTGGCTGGATTCACACCTTCTACTAAAGTGGGATCTTAAAGGTGCCTCAAGAACACAAATGATGTGGCTTGGTTACACAATCTACTAAGGTGGAATCTTAAAGATGCCCCAAAGGAAATGAAGGAGGTGGCTTGGTTCATACTCTACTAAAGTCAGGTTCTAATTTCACCCTAATCCTGTCCATTGGTTTAGTGGAAAATGGCTTCAAATTGGGATTATCGCCAGAGGCAGATGGAATCCAGAATTATATCACTTAAAGAACTATGGCTGAAAAAAAAAAAGCAAAAAAAGAATTCTAGCTAGTAAACCAAAAGAAAAAAAACAAAATACCTCACTGTCATCGAGTCGATTCTGACTCATAGTGACGCTAGGGGGCAGAGTAGAACTGCCCCTGTGGGTTTCCAAAAAAGTCTTTACCGGAGTAGAAAGCTTGGTCTTGCCCCTCGGAAGCAGCTGGTGGTTTCAAACGGTTAACCTTTTGGTTAGCAACCCAATGTGTAACAACTATGCCACCAGGGCTCCTGGGTGGCTAAAAGGATCATGTTAATT